TCGTTAGGGGAGACGTACAAATGCGATCTGCGGCGTATACGGAAGAAAGCTCTGGTAAGCGGCGGGCATGATATGCTTCCTCATCTTCAGTCAGTGTGAAAAAAAGAGGCACACGGTCAACTGGTGGAAATTTTTGGGAAATTCTAATTGATTTCTGTATAATTTTAAACTAATTCGTGTATAAACTCGTATAGGGGAAGCTCCTGAGGAACTGAACTGAGGAAAGTGAATATATATTTCGACACTGTCTTTAGTGGAGTGCCATCATATCATACGAATGAGCTCACGTTGAAGTCTGTCGTGGCATGAGTATTGATATGACGTCTTAGGTAATGGTTATGGGCAATCACTCTAGTGGGAAGTCCACCTTTGTGAATTGGTTCGTGGATGCTCCAATACAGAAGGTCGGTGCAGCATTGGAGACTACTGGCTTCACTATAGTTACTGCAGGGAGTCAGACTGGGCGAGAGTTGAACGGTGAGTCTACTTTGTTACTCTACCCCTATCTGCATGCCCTCGTGGAACGCGATCCGAAAATATTAGCTCATCTTGCTACCAAAACGGTCCTGGCAAGCGACTCGGTCGCTCCCTACCTGTCGATGCTCGACATTATAGACACTCCGGGCCTCGCTGATGGCGGGTTGGAGTATCCGTATGATGTGACAGCAGCGATTGAGTTCTTTGGGAAGGAGGCTGATTTGGTTCTGGTCTTCTTGGATCCTCTTGGACAAGCACTATGCAATCTGACATGTGAAGTAGTTTGTGATCTGTTCAAGAAGTACCCGTCGAAGATGCGGTTTTGTCTGACTAAAGTCGATACAGTGCCAACAGATGAGGACCTCTTGAAGGTGTCGAATCAAGTGACACAGTCTCTGACGTCCAGGTTGGGTGTTATACATGCATTTGATTTGTTGCCGATTTACATAGGGGGTGCGAAAAGCTCTCGGGTGAACAGGTTAGAGGAGGTATCCCTCGCAGTGAAGCAATGTGTAGAGTGGCGCGTCCAAGCATCTCTCAGTGTATTGCAGTCGGACTGTGCGATGGTCGAGGCTGCGATACGTTCAAGGCTCGACGATGACGATATGGCAAGGAAAAAGAATAGGGAGCTGTCAGTAGCAGTGAACAGGCTGTATAGGGGAGCTGTTATTCTTTCATCGATCACAGCTTTGATCTTTGCTCTAGCCCTGCCTGCTGATGGTGGGCATTCGGGGTACTTCTTGGTCCCACGAAGGGCTGCCCACTTGGATGGTATATGTACTGGTATGCTCCTCATAAGCCTTTTGTTGCCTGTCATTGCCTCTCTGTGCTGGAGACGTTTCTGTATACCGAGTCTGTCCGATAGTGAGAGATTGAAGGTTGAGGAAGAGCTGAAGAGAGTGAGGGAAGATATCCCGAGACGCCAACGGGAACTCCACGTGAAGTATCTTGCCTCTGTCGGATCTTAGCTGCTATTGTTGTTGTATAATTGTTGTTGTAGACCACATGATTGAAAACCCACGTTTAATTCGTATCACTGATGGGAGATCCGTTGAGTTATCCAGTCTTTGTGGGATTCGAAGCAACATCAGGTGCGGCTTCTTGCTGCTGTCGTTACTCCGGGATTGGACCGACTCGACGAAAGTGGAAACGCGAACCTTGCTCGAGCTCGATCTTCCATCTATTTTCGAGCGATGTAGGTTTTCCGGCTGGGCAGCGTCATCACGGAGAGCTCTCAAGGCATCCCTTAGTTCCGTGAAAGTTATCACTATAATGCGTGTCGGCATCGTGAACGTCCTCGTCGCGATGCTATTACCGTGGTTTGCCGCCGGTGGGATAGGCAACCGACTGCGACGATTCTTAAGTTCCAAAATCCAGCGGAAGAGCAGGAATGCTACCAAGCTCGAATACAGACCGTTGGTAACTGAAAAGTGGGACAGACCTCATCCACTGCCTGGAGCTGCTCCTTTTGGTGCGGTTGATCCTAAGGAGAAAAAGAGGGAGGTGAGGAATTAGTATAACTTCCAGTCCTCGTTAACAATGGGAAGCCTCTCGATTCTGTCAAGTATTCATCTGTTATCAATGCATTTCTTCCGGTAGAATATAAGATTTCCTTCTTCTCGCAGGGAGTAGTTGCGTCCTTTGGTTATGGTAGAGTGAGTGAACCAGGATACTCAGAATGGGTCTATATCGATGATGTTTATGTGGAAGAGAAGTGGAGGAGGAAAGGAGTAGCCACACGATTGATCACACGATTCCTCGGATATGTAACTTCCTCTTTGGCAACTCCATATCTGCAATCACGTGCTTATTCAGCTCAAGACAGGATGGCCCAGCATCAGTGGCGCATATCTAGGGGTAGATCCTCCGAATCCTGGCGCTGTGGTTCTCTATGAGGGAATAGGCTTCGTTCAAAATAGTGAGAAGTCGATAAGCCCTCAAGACTTTCACATGCCTCCCAGGTTCGTTCAACAGGTGGGATTTCTACGTTTTTGATTTCAATGAAGCAACTACTGCTGTTGCCAATCTGTCGACTGACCCGCCGCCAGAAAAAATGAAGCTTCCCACGTTAACACACAAAGGGGTTATGGCAGATTATAGGGAATTATTCTTGCCCCATAAGAAGTAGATGTTTGACCATCGATTTTCCATGGTTGTTGTATTAGACGATGATGATGATGATGTTCTTAAGCTGATGTTCGACAAGGCAACTTATTGTGTTAGAAACATCAGACGGTGGCCATATATGCCCCTCAGAGCATGTATCGCATCCCAGTCATTTGATATATGTCGTAACGATGCACACAAACGATCCTCATCTACTCTCTGCGAGGTCCCCTATATAAATCCCTCCAATAGAGGTGCTTCTGCTGAGTCTTATCAGTATCGAGACTCGACACTCGATAACCGAGTATCACGGAGTAGCTTATCGTTACAGGAAGAAACATTCCTCCAGTCGGCCAGCAAACAGTTGAGCTCACAGTCATTTGCCAAGTTCAGATCTCATCAGAGTGATCCATTGCCCATTTTTCACGACTATATTTCCCTATAAGTTGTAGCATCGGCTCAGTGACACTGTGCAACCAAAAACCAGATAAATACCGCTCAACTCTCGGTTGTTTATCGAATTGTAAAATGCTACATACAATACATATTAAACGTGGATAGGAAGGTTGTCGCCACCATAGTCGTCATCGATGAGGGAATCATAGTTAATCACAAAGGACGAATCTTGCGCTAAGTTCTTATAAAGCTGCGTTGCAGAGTCCTCATTCTTCGAACTTGACTTGAGCCCCATGTGCTGCACTAACGATGGATACGTTCGGAGGACCTTCCCTTCTTGTTTGGCCCAACTGAACTGCGAAAAGTCGAGATCATATCCACCAGCATCTCCCATACGGTATCCCTGGTCCAGCTCTCGTTGCAAATAAGTTCTTATAGAGTAGACTCTATCCCGAGGGTAGGCGGTAGCAACAGTACTTGCTCTGACGTTAGTCTCTACCAAACTAATAGAGGAATGTAAGCCCACATAGCGGAGCTTCAGCAGTTCCTGTTTCGTTATGAGCAATGCTAGACCGATAATCATACCACTAACAATACAAGCATATATGAAAGCACGGAATCGGCCCGGCACTTGACGTCGTACAAACAGAATTGTAAAGAGTGCCGTGGATACAATAAAGAAGAGGATGAAGTAGGGAACATCGATATCCTCATATCCCGACCAATGGTCAGAGACGAATAGTTTGACCATAGCCGTATCAGAGGGGGCCTTTGCCGCTACGTACTTGTGGAACTTAGCTAAGAAGTGGTCTGTGAGCATAGCATCGTTCTCGAAGATGATGCACCAAGTGGAGTTGAGCGAGACGCACTCATCCAATGCTCGGATATGATCGACATAAAGATTCTCCCGCCAGGAATCGTAGTCTAGCGTTGGGAGTGGTTCCAAATCGAGTACTTCAACAGCAGGAGAGCGCCGAGCTTTAACAGGGATATCAGGATCACCTCGATTGAGTATATGCATCACTGGAAGAGGAACGTCATGATTGAGAGCTAGATAGGACCAAAGGAAGGTACGTATATATGGGCTTTTCCTCGGCGTAGTCAACACTATTAGAGTCGGCGATGGCTCAAAGTACACTTCCGCTTCCTTCATGAACTTGTCATGCTCGAGCCTTTTGACTGTAGAGTGAGGATCCAGTGGGGAGTATGGCCAGGGGTCGAGGATGCCATAGACCAACAGTGAGGTACAGAGACATACAAATAATACCAATACCCAGCAGCTACGGCTATTAGGAATAGTTGACAATCGTATTGCATTGTAGTACGATCTCACGGTTTTATGAAACCGTCGCATACAAGCGGAGAAGTGGGCAACTGAGAGGACTTGTATGATGATGATGATATCAACGCAAGGACGAGAATACATATAGTCGAAAACAGCACGTTATGAGGAATCATCAGTAGACGTCATGCAGGGGTCACTCCTCGAGGAAAAGCCCAGAGCCCTCCCCAACTGGTGCCACTCCCTTAACTGTGATATCCAGTCTTCAGAGGGGGCCGCTGAAAGCAACAGTCATAAACGTCGACTATTACAGTAAGAGTGAGCTAACGAAAAGTCCAAGATCATTACACTGGACTTGTTCGTGTAGTTTCCGTCCGATACTCAACCATCGATCTTCAATAACATGAGTATCCTTCTCCTCACCGCTCTTTCCTATCGTGCTCACAGTGCGACCATCTTCGGGAGTATCCGCCAGCCTATCGTTAGTCTCGTGTAGTAATACACGTATTAAATTGATGAGTTTTGTAGCAAAGGTGACAGCCTCCATACAGTGGGAATAGTCGTCTCCATCGAACTCATTGACTATATCATTTTCCACATCCAACTCCAATTGGGCAAAATATACTCCTCCGCCTGACTGATAACAATAATGAATTAACACAAGCTTCAATTCCAATCTACCTCATCTTCCATAAAACCTCCTCGTCGTGCTGCCAACTCCAAACGCTGAGCTATGTACTCACACACGTGTCTATAGGGCCATACTATAGGGGCTGTAACTAGACCGCTGTTGATGGCTATATCCATTACATGCTGCTGGCATGCAGAGGGACAATTGTCGGCGGCGATACCACTGTTATTATTCATCCAAACACTGAATGGAGTGAAGCAAGGGTGAATCTAGTATCGCAACGCAAGGAGGATGAGGGTTTCGGAAAGCGGAGGTGACTGCACTGCACTTGATGCTTCGTTCATCATGATGAATTACTTCATGGACGATAGCGATAACTATGACGAATGACACGGACTGGAATCATAGTAGTAGCGATAGTTGTCGCGATGATGA